CGGGGGCCCGGGGCGCTGCCTGCCGCCGCCGTCCCTTCCTTGCCCGTCGTCTCCCCTTGTCGCCTCGCAATCCCAGCCGAAGGCCGAGTCGGACTGTTACGGGAAGAAAAATGCTTATTCTGAGATTCAGCTTTGGAAGAGCAGGGAGAGGGTCAGGCACAGACCCGCTGTCTGGAGTGGAGGGAAGAGGTCATTAAACACGGTTTTACCAGGTCTATAACCGTGGCTGCTTTACGAGACCAGGGAAATACATCTTCAGCGCTGCAGTTTAGTTTGACTTTGAACTAAAAACTGCATTCCCGCCCCCTGTTTTTCAGGCTAGCCTGCGAAGACCGTTGCCTGAGGCATTAAAAGAAATACAGCAGTCTGAGATGACTTGACCTTGCCAAGGTAGCTAGTTCCACATAACAAGGCCAGAAAAAACAGTTTCGTAGGCCACTAAAAAACCATTAAAGAGACACCTCCTTTTTGCCCATCTCTTCTTGCTTCAGTTTAATCATTACAACTCTATCATTTTCAGTTATGAAATCCACACTTCTAACTTCCTATAAATTGCCTTCCTATACCATGTTTTGTTTGGATCCCTTTTAAACATGCAGATTCTCTCTGATTGTTTAAGCCACAAAACCAGATTCCATGATTCCTGAGCATATGACATGGCCAACAGACCTGCCGTTAATGTACGTCCTGTCCGGTCAGTTGCAGAGGACACTGTTAAGACCTTTTCACACTGTGGCTCAGGCTCCCTTGGAGTTTTTCATTTTCAGAGCAGCAATGTCTCTTCACTATCAGAATCAACTGTTTCAGCTCTGACCTTGTTCAGTAACAAGGGCGTTTGAATCAAGTGAGCAGGAGTGGAAAAAGTGAAGCAGTACAAGAAATAGCAATATGGGTGGACTGTGGAATTACTTACTTTGCAAAGGAAACGGAGGGAGAACATTACAGTACTAACTCATGGCTGAGCAGCACCAGAAGTAGTTCTTTCCACCTTCGTATGAAAATGGTGAGGGTTCACGTGAACCCTTTTTTACACACTGTTTTGGGAAAGGACCTGAGAACCAAAAAAGACTTCCTCAAAATCTGATACTTGCTTAGAGGTTACAATAGCTACAAAAAGTGTCTACGTTTAGCAGTTGGCTATTCAGTGGTCTCGTCTTCATCCTCATCCAAACCGATCGCTGGTTTACTCTCTTTTCTCTATCAAAGTTTGGTGTGAACAGACTAAAAAAGCCACAAGTTCTGGTTACAGCTTCCCTCAGTTGACAGCTTGTCACTCTCAGTGAAAATCTCAGTGCCTCTAGTGTGTGTGTTGCCCAAAGCCAGTTTTTAAACACAGGAGTTTTCTTCAAAATGTTACGCAGTTTATCACAGATCAGAGAAACATTCGCACCAGTTTAGATTTTCTATTTCTCTCCTTTGTTCTCTTATCTTATATTTGTAGCTAAAGTTTTAATCCTTTTCAAGGGTTGCCAGACCAGGTTAAGGCTGAGCTTGGGATTTCTCTTGAATATAGCTGCTTAAAGATGCGTTTGTTTCTTTGGTAACCAATCTCCTCCCTCAGGCTTTCACAAACCCTAATATTAGCCTTTGCCCAGCTGGCAAATCCATTCATAAGATGCTTGAATGAGGCATGCTTGGCTAATTCTACCCAACAGATTAAAATGTTCTCTCAGACCAAGAAATTGTCATACCTGAAAAAGGTTTCACAATAGCGCACAGGATCAGCAGCATTATTCATAAAGAGCCAGATAACCTTTTCCTTTAAATCTTTGTGATAGCAATTTAAATGAACAGATCTAAATGCCAGTTCATTTTGCCTTGTGGGTACTGTTTATTAGTATGCTGAAGAACACAAAAATTGCTGTGGGAAAACCAACATTCCAGCTTGAATTTAACAAAACAGGCAAATTAAAAACAAGAGCTACAAAGAAAGAGGACAAATGGGAGAATGAGGAAGATGAGGGAAATGGAAAAATGATGGGGAAAGTCTCTATTTATTTTGTCTTAGCTGACTGATCTTTGATATGAGGATCTACTAAGACAATTCTTAATGGAAATCAGAAAATTACTTACCAGAGTACTGCCTCTGCTGTTCCATCCCTTCTTCTTCAAAGCTTTTAATGATTATCTTCAGGTGAAAGATAATCGGAAAAGAAATACCCACACAGTTGAGGCCTTTTATGAGTTTGGAGCCTGAACATTTTGATTTTAGAGATGCACTTCCTAATGGCTTTACTGTCAGTCATTATGGGATCATCAAAGCATACTTGGAGCTACAGAACCAATGTATTTAAGCAACTTAGTTTATTATTAAAGTAGAACCTTCTTTCATTCCGCAAACAAATTCGTTTACAAAGAAAATGCTTATCTTTGATGAAATAACTTTTAAGTGAGTTAGGATCACTGTCTCCCAGCAGGGTACTCCTATAACCGTTGATCATTCTAAATCTGGCTGATTGTAATCAATAAAAAAAAATGTTTCTGACAGTGAAGTTGAGTCCTGAGGCTAACATAGGACCAACTGTTTTCTTTGAAACCATTGCCCTCTGGAGGGGGAATGAAAAATCACAGAAGGACTAGGTAGAAATTCCCTTTTATATCACTGCATAACTGAATTTATGTTTTACCGTCCAGGAGCGGTTCTACAGGCTGATGCAAAAAGGAATGCTAAGTCAGAAGGGCCACGGTGGCAACAGTGCTTGTGTTAGTAAAGGCTGGAGGAGAAGAAATCCCCATCTATCTGCCCCATTACTCTCCTTCCCTTTATCTCTAAACTCTTCATCTCTGAACTCACCGAACATGTAGTCTACAACAGATGTACTTTCTCTTCCAACTTCAACTTGGATCCCTTCCAAACTGGTGTGATCCCTCTTATTTGCCAAAACATTTTTAATGGAATCCCTGAAGAATTCTTGCCTACCTGAAGGCGGGGTCTGTGTTCCATCCTCTTTCTTGACCTTTCTGCTGTTTCTTCATTATCTTGACTGCCCTTTCCCTTTTGATCTTTTATTCTTGCGAGGTTTTGAGAAATCGTCTTCTCCTCTTTTTATCTCTCTAATTTCATGACTGGCACCTATATAAATAGGCTCTTCTCCTCCTGTGTCCAAGGACTTCATAAGGATTTTTCCCTTCCCATTTTAATGTCTCCTTTAATTGAAAATAAATGAGAGCAAGCTCCTTCTTTCTTAGACTTCTCCTACCTATCCTCCCTGTGTTGCAGGGGAAATGAAAATATCCCACAGTGGCCTGTCCGCTCTGATTTATAGCAATCTGATCTCTCCGGGCCTCAAATCTAGTGACCAGTTTAACCCTGAGCATGTAAGCAAGACACATCAACTAGTGCACCTGTAGGGCCAGCTGTATCCAGTATTTAGTGTTTCAAAGAAGAGTGAAAGATCACTAAAAGTGCAGAAGCTAAATTATGTTTTAAGTAAGAAAAGAAAAAAAAAAATCTCTCTTGGCCCCCATAGTCCAGCAGCAGAAACCCTGAACCTTGAAATTAATAGAGCAATCCAATTTCATTTCAGCCTTTCTTGAACTACCACAACAAATACCAGGGACTCAAAGAAAGATTGTCATGTTTTCCTCCTTTATAGCACCTAGAACTGTCCTTTACTTTCTATCCAGTAACCACTTTTCACATTTACGTTCATCTGGATGAAACATCTTCTCTGGCTTCTGGTATTCTCTGCCTCACTTCAGGCCTTCAGATCTCAAATTGTACAACTCCAAGTAAGGTCACAGTTTTTACAGATAGACTCATAAATCGAACAGAAATTCATTTGTAGAAAAAGGTTAGTCTTCAGCAGAGAGGTCTCAAGTCTGGAAGAATTATTCAGCTCCCAGTGAGGGGTCTGAAGCTCAGAAATACGGATCTTTCCCAGAAAATAGGTGCCTAAATATGAAGCTGGAAGTGGGAATGTTGATGGCACAGTATGGGGAACTGTGTTTAGTCCAGAAAAATGATGGGTAATAAAAATAAGCTTTCTTTGCCTGGCAATTTTATCTTATAGCCTGCCAGTCCTTGAATCTTTCCACTGTTTCCCCTTCCCCTATTAAGTTAT